GCCGGATCTCAGCTCATTGCAAGCTCCGCTCCCGGTTTACGCCATTCTCCTGCCTCAGCCTCCGGAGTAGCTGGGACTACAGGCGCCGCCACCTCGTCCGGCTAGTTTTTTGTATTTTTTAGTAGAGACGGGGTTTCACCGTGTTAGCCAGGATGGTCTCGATCTCCTGACCTTGTGATCCGCCCGTCTCAGCCTCCCAAAGTGCTGGGATTACAGGCTTGAGCCACCGCGCCCGGCTGCTAGATCATTTCAAAGCAAATTCCAGACATCTGTAAATACTTTTGCATCACTAAAAAATAAAGACTTTAAATTCTTGAATATCTAATAATATTATCTACATAATATCTAATAATAAACAATATCTAGTAAGTCAAATGTAAAAAGCTCACCACTTCTCTGAAAAATATCTTTCTATATTTGGTTTGTGTGAAAGAGGATTTAAATAAGGTCTACGCTTTGTGCTTAGATGATACTCTCCAAAGTCTCCTTTAAATTTTAACAGTTCACCTTTCCCGCACCACACATCACTTTTATTTTCCCGTTAAATTATTTGTTAAAGAAATCAAATCAAATTTGTAACATAGAACTTCCCATATTTTAGAGTTGGCTAGTTGCATTTTCATTGTGTTGTTTACCTTATCCCTCTATTTCTGTATTTTCTCCAAAGTGCTAACTATATCTAGAAGCTGATTTGTTAGTTTGGTACAAAAGTAACTATAGTTTACAATAATTTATTATATATTTCAAAATAATTAGAAGAGTGGATTTAGAATGTTCCCAACACAAAGAAACAATAAATGTTTGAGGTGACGGATATCCCAATTAGTCAGACGAGATCATTACATATTGTATGCCTGTATCAAAATATCACAAGTACCCCATAAATTTGTACAACTATTATGTACCCACAAAAATTAAGAATAGGCCAGGGTGGTGACTCACACCTGCAATTCCAGCATTTTGGGAGGCTAAGGCAGGAGGATCACTTGAGCTTAGGAGGTTGAGACTGGCCTGGGCAACACAGTGAGACAACACAGTGTCATCTCTACAAAAAAAGAGAACAAATTGAAAAAATTGCCAGATGTGATGGCATGTACCTGTAGTCTCAGCTACTTGGGAGGCTGAGACAGGAGGATCACTTGAGCCCAGGAGGTAAAGGCTGTACTCAGCTATGATCCTGCCACTGGACTCCAGCCTGGACAACACAGCAAGACCCTGTCCTCAAAATAATATAATAATCATAATAATAATTGTATAAGAAACTTTAAAAAAAAATTTTTTAATTTTACTTAAGCTCGTTTTACATTAGAATATTTCAGTGAGGCTGGGCACAGTGGCTCACACCTGTAATCCCAGCACTTCGGGAGGCCAAGGCGGGTGGATCACGAGGTCAGGAGTTCAAGACCAGTCTGGCCAACATGATGAAACCCCTTCTCTGCTAAAAATACAAAAATTAGCTGGGCATGGTGACACATGCCTGTAATCCCAGCTACTTGGGATGCTGAGGTAGGAGAACTGCTTGAACCCAGGAGGTGAAGGTTGCAGTAAGCCGAGATCGTGCCACTGCACTCCAGTCTGGGCAACAGAGCAAGACTCCATCTTGAGGAAAAAAAAGGAAAAAGAATATTTCAATGGAAAAACTTTCCCTCATCAACTACTTGTCTTATTAAATTGATACAAGAAAAGTGGGGTAAACACTGTATATTTTTGGTTTATCAGTTTTCAGAGTGAGTTAGTAAACAAGCAACCTAGAGTAATGCCTAATGCTTTTTCAAACATATTCTTATAAACTATTAGTGTTTAAGCTCTCTAAATTTAAGACGTTTCAATCCATTATAGTCATTTATTTTGGTGGAAATTCAAGAGAAATATCACTTTAGACAGCTGGAAAATTATAGGCTAGTCAATAAATAGAGTAGGGTCAAATGGCTATCCTGTAGAATAACATATATACAGCGTTATACTGGCAAGTGCATATAAGGTATGAAGCAAAAGGTATTTGAGATTTTAAGCTATTAAGACAACATACAGTATCTACCATGTGATATTAAGAATATTAAATATATGTGCGCCGGGCACAGTGGCTCATGCCTATAATCCTAGCACTTTGGGAGGCCGAGGCGGGCAGATCACGAGGTCAGGAGTTTGAGACCAGCCTGGTCAAGAGATCATCCTGGCCAATACGGTGAAACACCGTCTCTACTAAAAACACAGAAATTAGCCAGGGGTAGTGGCAGGTGCCTGTAATCCTAGCTAGTCGGGAGGCTGAGGTAGGAAAATTTCTTGAACCTGGGAGGCAGAGGTAGAAGGGAGGCGAAGATCGCGGCATCACTGCAATGCACCCTGAGCAACAGAGCAAGACTCCGACTCAAGAAATAAAAATAAAAATAAATAAAAATTAAAAATTAAAAAAGAATATTGAATATATGTGAAGTACTTAGCATGGTGCCTGATACAAGTGCTCAGCAAATGATGCATATGAACATATGCGTACCCATGCACGTGCACATGATTATCGGCTGGTAAATGTTTAAAATCTAGCTCTCGGGCCGGGCGCGGTGGCTCAAGCCTGTAATCCCAGCACTTTGGGAGGCCGAGACGGGCGGATCACGAGGTCAGGAGATCGAGACCATCCTGGCTAACACGGTGAAACCCCGTCTCTACCAAAAAAATACAAAAAATTAGCCGGGCGAGGTGGCGGGCGCCTGTAGTCCCAGCTACTCGGGAGGCTGAGGCAGGAGAATGGCCTAAACCCGGGAGGCGGAGCTTGCAATGAGCTGAGATCCGTCTCTACTAAAAAAAAAAAAAAAAAAAAAATCTAGCTCTCTGAGGAAAAAAATAGCCCTGATTTGTAGTGTTTGCATATTTTCATGATCAAATAGTCCCAACATGGGTGATTTCACGCAATCAATATAATATCCCTAAACACCGTGCCAAGGAGGGATGTGCATCACCGGTTCTCACTAGCCTCCACGGTATCCATACATCCATATTCATCATTAAACTATTTTTGTATAGATGAGTATGTCCATGTTTACATGTATGTGTGTGTATGTATGCACATATTTATGTACACAGAATCCAAATGCCTGGTAAAAGGTCTGGAGAGACAGTAAATGAATGACAGGAGTTTTCTCTGGGGCAAGAAATGGTCTCAGGTTGGGAAGAGCAGGATAAACAGCACTACTGTTTTATCAAAATTCGTTGAATTTTTAAACAAAAAAATATTCATCTAGTGCTTATGTATTTACTGGGTCGAAATGGAATTTTTCCCTAATTATCAAACCCATGCTATCATAGACAGCAATATTTTCTCACAAACATCAACATTAAGCTGCAATGTGATATAAATGACCAGCTAGAGTAGATGTCATATCACACCAAGAAATCGCCTTCTGAAAAATTATACAGCTTACTTTGGCTTCAGTTTCTCCCCTGTGAAGAGTATACAGATGGTGGACAGCACATTGTGATGAGGACCAAGGATGAGTCAGAATTTGGAAGACATGAAAGTCATGGCCAAGGGTGTCTGTTGTGACTAGAAGCATTCCTGGAAGACAAAAAACAAAGGGTAAAAATAAAAATGATTATGTACGTGGATGAAATATTCTAAAAAGCTACTCATAATATTTAAAATATTACCAAAGGGAAAAAAATTACCAAGGCTATAAGAAACTTTACAAAAGAAAAAATTAAAACAAAATATATTTTCCATGAGAATACCAAGCTTAAAGCCACATCAGTATATCAGCAAGGTACAAACACTACATGTGCAAGTATTACGGTATTCCTGTAAAACTAGCAGAGAGAAGTTTGATATTCCTGGATTTACAGAATTCATAACTGTATTTTATTTTTTTCCTGAGGCAGAATCTCACTCTGTTGCCCAGGCTGGGATGCAGGTTCCTGATCACAGCTCACTGCAGCTGCAAATTCCTGGGCTCAAGTGATCCTCCTGCCTCAGCCTCCCAAGTAGCTGGGACTACAAGCACATGCCACCATGCCTGGCTAATTTTCTTTTATTTTTGTAGAGACAGGGTCTCACCATGTTGCCCAGGCTGGTCTCGAACTCTGGGCCTCAAGCAATCCTTCCGTCGTGGCCTCCCAAAGCTCTGAGATTACAGGCATGAGCCACCATGCCCAGCCACAATTATTTTTTAAAACAAAGAATGTGAAAATGGCATACCCCCATGGAACTCTCTTTTGCAATTTCTTCAAACTTTAATTCTATGCTCCAATTTATCTACTGATCCAACTACTACTTCCTGTACTTAATTCACCATGATATTTATTGAAAATGCCAATAGAGCCTATTACAGGGAAAGTTCTTAATTTTGATGAGATGTCATAGCTAGGAATTCTTTGCCTAACCCAAGGTCACAAAGATCTTCTGTTTCCTCGCAAAAGTTTCATAACTTTATGTTTGACATTTAGGCCTGTCATCATTTTAATATTTGTATAAGGTGTGAGGACCTTATACAACAAGTTACATGGCGAGGATCCTATACAAAACACGGACAAGGTTAACTTTTTTGCAGAAGATGTTCAATTGTTCCAGAAAGACTTCTTGAAGACACTGTCTCTTCTCCATTGAAGTAACACTGTCAACTTGCCAAGGATCAGTTGACTATATTTGTGTAGGCCTATTTTTTTTTGAGACAGAGTCTCACTCTGTCGCCTAGGCTGGAGTGCAGTGGCGTGATCTCGGCTCACTGCAAGCTCCGCCTCCCAGGTTCACGCCACTCTCCTGCCTCAGTCTCCCAAGTAGCTGGGACTACAGGCGCCCGCCACACGCCCAGCTAATTTTTTGTATTTTTGGTGGAGACGGGGTTTCACCGTGTTAGCCAGGATGGTCTCGATCTCCTGACCTCGTGATCCACTGGACTCAGCCTCCCAAAGTGCTGGGATTACAGGCATGAGCCACCATACCTGACATTTTTTTTTTTTTTTTTTTTTGAGACAGTCTCACTCTGTCACTCAGCCTGGAGTGCAGTAATGCATTCTCGGCTCACTGCAACTTTCACTTCCTGGGTTCAACTGATTCTCCTGCCTCAGCCTCCCAAGTAGCTGGGGCTACAGGTGTGCGCCACCATGCCTGGCTATTTTTGTATTTTTAGTAGAGACGGAGTTTTGCCATGTTGGCCAGGCTGGTCTCAAATTCCTGGTCTCAAGAGATCCACCACCTCAGCCTCCCAAAGTGCTGGGAATACAGGTGTGAACTACCATGCCAGGCCAAGGCCTATTTTTTGAAGTTCTATTAATTCAATTTCTGTGTCTATACATTCACTAATACCACACTCTTGGTTACTGAAACTTCACAGAAAATCTTGAAATCAGGTAAAATGAGCCTTTTCCTGCCTTTTTCAACATTATTTTAGTCATTCTTGTTTAGGATTTTGAGGGAACTGTATTGAGTGTAATAATTTGGGGACAACTGATATTCTAATATTGTGTCTTCTCATCTATTAACACAGCATATTTCTTGATTTAGATCTATTTTGACTTCTTTTGCTTTTTGTTTTTGATTTAGATTTATTTTGACTTATTTTTCTTTTTGTTTGACACTCAGATTCTGAAAATATTATCTTTTAGAGTTATTATAAATGGTATTATTTTTAAATTTTCAATGATCAATTTTTGCTTGCTAGTACACAGAGATAAAATTGATGATTTTTTATCTTGACAACATATGTTTCCTGCAAGTTCTAGGGGTTTATACGGTATGTGAATTTTCTTTGATGACAATTATGTAGTTTAGGAACGGGCACAGTTTCATTTCTTCCTTTCTGATCTACATGCCTTTTCTTCAATTTTCTTGACTTACTGCATTTGCGGAGGCAACCAGAAATAGTGAGGAGAGATTTCTGTGTTATAGGAGGAAAGCATTCAATCTTTAAGTATGACATTAAGTATAGGTTTTTTGTAAAAGCCCTTTGTGAAATATGCTGAGAGTTTTTATAATGAAAGAAAATCGAATTTTTCAAGTGCTTTCCTGCATTTATTGAAATGGTTATGTGGCTTCTCTTTTTAAATCTATTAATATAGTGAATTCTAACAATAATTGATTATCAAATGTTGAACATGTCTTACATTCTTGGGATAAGTCTCATTTGGTCACAATGCTTTATTATAAGCAGCTAGATTCAATTTTCTAGTATTTTCTTGAATATTTTCATATCTGTGTCCCTGAGAAATACTGGTTTGTAGTTTTCTTTTCTAACAGTGTGTTTGGCTGATTTTGCTATTTAGGACAATCGAGGCCTCAAAGAATCATATGGGAATGCTCCCTACTCTGTTGTTTTCTAGAAAAAAAAAATGCAGGATTGCTATTATTTCTTCATTAAATGTTCAATGGAATTTTCAAGTAAAAATATTTGGGCCTATTTTCGAAGATTTTTAACTACCATTAAATATTTTGTTAATTTTTTTAATTTAAAATTTCTTCTTTGACGAATTACTTTCTGTAATTCAAGGAATGCATCTTTTTTAATATCTGTAGAGACATTAATGATATTCACTTTTTCATTCACGATATTGGTAATTTGTGTCTTCTCTGTTTTTTTCTTCACCAGTCTGGGAAGGTCTTTTTAAGGTTAACCTATTTGGTTTCATAACTTTCTGTTTTTCTCTTTTCAATTTCACTGATTTCTGTTACTATATTTATTATTTCCTTCATTCTCCTTGTTTTGGGTTCATTTGCTCTTCCTTTTTTTGAGTTTCTTACGGGAGCAGCTTAGATTATTGTTTCAGGAACTTTCTTCTTTTCTGGAGTAAGCACATATAGGTATAAATGTCCCTCTAAGCCTGCTTAGCTAAATGTAACAGATTTTGATATGCTGCAATTTCATTTACATTCAGTTTTAAATGTTTCCTAGTTGCTTCCTCTTTTGCTCGTGGGTTATTTAAAGGTATATTGTTTTGTTACCAAATATCTGGATATTTTCCAGATATCTTTCAGATATTATTGCCAGTATAATTTCATTATGACAAGAAGTTACTTCTTTTACATTTGTTAAAGTTTGTTTTATGGTTCAAAATGTGATCCTTGTTCCATATACACTTGAACACCTAGAATATATTCTAGAAAGGTATAGAATTGGTAGTGATGTTTGCATCTTCAATTTCCTTACTGACTGACTGCTTTCTGTTCCATTACCGAGTAGGAGTTATAGTCTCCAAGTATAATTGTGGACATAAGTAGTTTTCCTAAGTTATATCAGCTTCCTAAATTTTAGAGCAAGGTTCATGCACATTTAGGATTGTATGACGTCTTGGTCAATTAACCCTTTTAACATGATTTAACCCTGGTTATTTTCCTTGCTATGAAGTCTACTTTTTTCCAATATTAATTTCACCACTCCAACTTTGTTTTGATTGGTACTTGCACGGTATATATTTTCCATTCTTCTACTCTGTATCTATCAATCTAGGCTTCTTTTAGATTAACAGTTGGGTGCTCTCAGACTTGCTCACTCTCTTTCAATCAAATCACTGCCTTTTAATTGGTGTTTGCAGTTTATTCATATTTAGTACTTACTGGTAGGGCTGGATTTAGGTCTACCAATTTATTATTATTTCTGCTTGTCTTGTTTCTGTTTTTTATTTCTTTTTTCATGTTTTCTTGCTGTTTTGGGACTATTGTAATATTCAATTTTCATGACATGCTAATTTCAACATTTTATTCAGTTTTGTTTATTTCTCTTCTCATGTTTTCTTGCTGTTTTGAGACTACTTATTTTTAACAATATTTAGTGTTGAATGTTAAAAATAAATAATTTATCTATGGGCTTTTGAGCTATATCTCTTTATATTAAAATTTTACTGGTTGTTCCAGAGATTATAATACACATATCTAACTTTATGTGCCTGTTCGGTTGTATTTTGTCCAGGTTTCATAATTGTTTTCTATGGAAAGGATGGTTTGTACATTTACCTTGCTATTCCGAGAAGTAGAATCACATTAGTATAAGCATTTAAACTAATGTTTTGTTGAACCAAAAGGCATGAAAGAATATTAAGCATCTGTGGGAAGACAAGGTAGTCATTTCAGTGAAAAGATGAAGTATATTTGAGTTTGCTATTTCTTTGGCAAATATAAGGTACAGCTCTCGTCACTATATTAAAATATCCTACTAGATACCACTGTCCTGCCTATTTCCAAGAGAATATATTTTAGAAAATGAAAGGTGCCATTTATTATAAATAATTTAATAAATTATTAAACCTATAACTATATATATAACCTTACCTCTCATTATATATCTAGCTATGATCATGAGGTTACTTACATAGCTTATATTCTTTACTTATTGTTATTCAAACAATAAATTTGTTTTGTTTTGTTTTGTTTGGAGATGGAGTCTTGCTCTGTTACCCAGGCTGGAGTGCAGTGGCACAATCTCGGCTCACGGCAACCTCCGCCTCCCGGGTTCAAGCAATTCTGCCGCAGCCTCCCGAGTAGCTGGGACTACAGGCCACCGCTGCTACGCCTGGCTAGTTTTTTGTATTTTAGTAGAGAGGGGGTTTCAACCATGTTGTCCAGACTGGTCT